AACGTTTCAAGCAAGAAGATTCAAACACACACATACTAAACATGAATATGAACCCTTAAGCTATTCAATAGTTATTAAAAAGACATACACAATAAGTGATTAGAACATGATAGTCAAATGTGTGGGTTACATACATGATATGGAGTTAAGCAATGGACTGATATTAGTTTATAAGTCTTTTTGAGTTCATTTTGGTGCATCTACATCTGTAAAAGACAGTTTCTGTGCCATTCTGTGAACATAAGGACATGTTCTGTGAAGACCAGAGGTTAAAAGGTCTCATAAGGAATCTCAGTCTGGTCTTTGTCTTCTAGGTGGGGGAAACCACCCAACGCAGTTTCTACTAATGATTTTCCTCATGTGATGGTCATGATATGCGGTGTCTTTCACCATTAATCTTGGTCATCTGATTTACGCACATCCTGTTGTCTTGGGCCCCTTTGTGGAATTCGGCTCTTTGGGTTGTTCAACACCAATCTGACCGAATCTTAAATTGTCCGAATCAGTCTGATATCCTACACATTGTACAGTATCTGGAGAGATGAGAGGAACAGTAATGACCTTTCCACCTCTCTACTAATTATCATGTATGAACTCTTGCTCTACAGCATTAATGATTAAACATGAAGGTGTACTTGCTCTCACTGTCCCAGAGCAGGAGGACAATGGATGGGGAACAAGAATCTCCCAAGAGCAATGTTTTGTTCTAGGACAATTACACAACAGTTTTTGAACTAACTAAATTTGTATTTTAGAACTTCAAATATGCCTAAATGAAATGCTCAGAAAAATATCTCACTGAGTAATGAAGTGAAAAGTTGATTTGGGAATCTTGTCTTTTGTTAATAGGATCACACTGCTAATGGACTGCAGAGAAGATTCAGTGAAGATAAGCAGCTATATTATGTCTTGTAATAAAAATTGCAAATAAAATTTCTTTTGATCTGCTCTGGCATCCTCACATTGCATTTCCTCAGTGGATAGTGTTCAGGGTGCAAAATGTTAAATACATTTCTGTGCTGTGAAAGACTGCCCTGTTCTTTCAGATCAGGTTCAAAAGAGCATCGATAAAGATATTAAGATATAAAATTATTTCCAAATAAGAAATAAATCCAAATGAAGTAACTAGTTAAAAAAAATTAGGTTACATCTAAATCAATCAAGCGTTGAGGAAAACCATGTAAATCTAGAAGACATGTAACAGATATTAACCAGGGGTTCTCAAACTTGGAAAAACATTATTAATAGTTTTAATGAGTGGATTTTAGGCATCCATTTAAATGGATTTAACATTTTTGAAATAATAAATTCACTCCAAATTATTTAAAAGGTTTAATGCTTGAGTGATCTCTGGTCTTTTGAATCATGTTGTATTTTATATTCAGGGCCTCATATCAGATCCTCAATCAGCATAAAGAGATGTAGTTAATTACATGGCTGTTTTGAACAGCAATGAAGGTAATGATGTAGTGCCCTATCTATCTATCTATCTATAGTCCAATGTCTGTTTATATAGATAAAACAAAAAAAACACATAGTAGAAACATTTTGAACAGTGAAAAGATACAGTATGTTTAAAGTGATCTTGATACATTTATTTTGGGGGTGTTTTCACATTTGTGGTTTAATGCGACCATGATACATGGCTGAGGGTCTCCACACATTTTTAAAATCAACCAAAGCACTGATGGAAGTAGTGCAACAGACATCTTTTTACAAACTCTTCTGACATGTAATGACACATTTGTGTTAGACTGAGTGAATCGTTAGAACCAAAATGGACTCACAGCTGTAGTTGGTCTTCTTAACAGGGGTAACCAATCATGAGCTTTAAAACAGCCATGAGAAACTGAATGAGTGGAAAGATGCAAATGCTTCTCTTTCTAACACACTGCCAGCAGTTACAGCACTGTGCACATTTACAAATGGCCCATAAGAGCTGAAGAAACGTATTGCTCAGCGTAACGTGCTGAGATCAGTCAATGTTTGATCAAGAAAGCCAACAGTGTTTACTGGGACAAAAGAGAGCCAGAGAGATGCCCATAAAAGGATGTTAACTTGATGTTCCCTGTTTTCCAGAGGTGGGGGAAAATCTCATGAAATAAATGTTTTTCTCAAATACACGGACACAATTATTGGTACCCCTAGAAATTCTTATGAGTAGAATATATGTGAAGTATATTCCCATTCATATTTACAATTTTGAGCATACCAGGGTGATTATGAACATGAAATTCTCCAGCCATGGCTTCCTGTTTCACATGAATATAAACAGGAGGGAAAACAAAGGTTTCCCCTTAATCATCCATCACAATGAGAAAAAAATATATATATATTTCTGATGTGCAGCAAAAGATAATTTATATCGTCCTAATGCACGGTGAGGAGGAGAGTTTGAGCGGCTAAAGACTCTCCAAGGACCACAGCTAGAGAATTGCAGAAAGTAGTTGAGTCTCAGGGTCAGAAAACCTTAAAAAAAAAAAAAAATAAAAATAAAAAAATGCTCTCATCCAAAAACAATCCCCAGCATATTCTGTTGTCAGACACGGCTGTAACTTCAAATGGGACTGGCTTCCATGGTAAGATGTAACTAAAAAAATTGCTTTTTAGCAAC